GTCACAAATTAAAACGTAATATCTCTTAAAACATTAAAAGTGTGTTTAGTTATTAGACTGCCAAGAAAAAAAGTACTTAAATTATGCATACAAAAACGCCCTAAACCCCTCGAATCAATATTGGAAGATATGATCATGAACATGGTTGCCAAACTTACAATTAGAAACATGTGGTACAAGCTATCATATGAAGAAGTATATGAAGCATTTGTCCGAAAATAAGTATGAGAATAAAAGAAAAATGAAAGCAACATGGCGTTGGACTAAAGAAATCTGCTCGTTTTTGAAAAAAAATTCTCGTTTTTCTCCATCACTTGTCGAATATGAGACTTATGTAAGTGTTGACGATAAAGATTCAAGATACAATGCAAAGTCCACCCATGAACATGTTTCCAAGCCAAAGTTGACCCAAGATTAAACAGACAAAAACGAACAAGAATCACAATGAAGAAATAGATTCATGTGAAATAAGTTACGAATTAAGAAGTATTTGCATAAACATTTTCCCACGAACAACAAGCGATAATGATTGAACAAAAACCTAGAAATATTGAGATGCATACCTAGAAAATTGATTATGTCTCGCTCGCCTATCTTCAAGGTTGCTCCATAAAGAGAGAGAATAAGGAAAAAAAAACTTGAGTTGGGCAAGTCTCAATATTTTCTTTTAACATCTCATTCATTTCAATACAAAAGTTGATACATCCATAATACATCAATAATGACCAAATTCAAATACATGCTCACAAATACATTATCAGTCATTAAAAAGAACGATAAAGAAGTGAATTTCCACGATACTTTCGATACCGAAATTCGTTTTTGATTTGTACTAGAAAATTCTTATTTGTATCTTTCTGGTGCTAATTGGTCATTCTAATTAAGATCAATCCCATGGTTCAGTTGGAGAATCTGTTCCATCACTTAAAGTATACAACAAATTTCAAGATACAATGTAGGGAAATATGAAACTGTAACGTGCAAATCAAGTTAAAGATTCTACAGAGATAAACGAACAAATATCCTGAATCACCATGAAAAAATTTGATTTATATGAGATAAAAGTTACGAATGCACGAAATTTTCCCACGAACAACAAGTCAAACAAGTGATAACCTTGAACATGCATAAGCAAGAGGAACAAAAGTTCCATAACATAATAAAAACAAATGAATCGAGATGCACACCTACAAAATCTCTTCTCGTTCGCTTATCTCCAAGAACCAAAATTGCTGATCTTCAAGAGAGAGAGTAAGAAGAGGGAAAAATAAACTTTTAGCAAGTCTTAGTATTATATATAGTCATAATCTTTTTATGGCGAAAAGGTTCCATTGTTTGATTTGGTTGACTTAAACCAGTCAAAACGAACTGAAACAA